TGTACGGGTTGAGGATTTTGAAGGTCGGCGTCAGGTCTTCGGGCAGGATTGAAAGGAGGTTGAGGAAGAGTGGGGTGGTATAGTAAGGGAGGAAAGTGAGGATTGTGAATTCTGTGTTATACTCATGCACCCTATAAGCCTGTTAGCGCGTTGAATGAAGATCGAGTCCCCATGAAAGACATACCGAAAACGCCGGATAAGCCAGTCAACGGCTTTCACGGCCGGGCTCAGCAGCAAGTGACCTCCAACGAGGGCAAGGAAAGCCTCCAGAACAGTGTCCAGCTCCTTATTCTGAGCAGCGTTCATCTCTGTTCGGTCCTCCGCCTTGCTCTGTTCGCTGAAGATGGTGCGCTCGAACGACGCGAAACGAGGATCGAGCTGACATAACTCCTGGAAACCTTCGAAGCATATTTGGTAGACGGTATCGAAATCCTGTGTAGTGGCGGTCTTCCAGTCAAAAATGAGAGACTGCGAGTGCGCAATGCGCTGTGCTTTGAGGTTCAACTGATTTGTCGACTTTGCCGCAATTTGCGACAATTGCGCGGCGAGGGACGAGGCCATGGTGACGATGAGAAATTTTGTTTATCGATAACTGCAAGTCACATCCATCCCTCAAATATCAACACCGAAAAACTTTTGTCAAGACCCCAAGCGTTGGCGGGCAGTAATTCCCCGAGCAGCGTGGAGATCTCGAATGGCTCGGAGCAACTTTTTTTTGAGGCCGTTGGAACCAAACCGGAAAAAAATGCGGGAAGCGGGAACCTAGTTTTTCCAGCCTGCCATCGCCGCCGCCTTTGGTTGAAGCTCCCCCTCAAAAAGGCAGGCCTCATCTCTCCAGGAGCATGGATTCGTCTGGCTCCCAGGTATGTTTGAATCAAATAATGCCCTTTATCTACTCATATGATGCTAATTCAAATTTCACATTAGGAAAAGAAATCCATCCCCCGCTTCGCCAGCTTCAAGCCGCGGCCAGCACCTCCGTCCGAAGCTGATCGGCCGCCCGGGCGCCCCAGTCGCGATACCTCCGACCGCGATGTGAAGTCTAGCCACCACTCGAGGCATCGGTCGAGACATAGCAGCCATCATGACCGCTCTAGGTCCCGAGAACGTCGTAGGAGCCATAGGGAGCATCGGTCCTTTCGAAAAGAAGCAAGTCATCGCCGCCGAGAGCCCACCCCCGAATATCCAAGAGCATCCACATCGACCCGCACCGTGAAGCACCCGCCCGAGGAAGCCTCGGATTTGTATGTTATAGATAGCAAGGGCGATCGCTACAACCTCATATATGGAACGTTACATCGATATAGCGTTCCACAATATTATCGCGTCGGTCGGGGCAACGTCTTGGGATTGCCTTCCAGCTATAAGATCGACCGGGAAAGCGCTGTCGAGGACGTGTTGATCGTCACGAACGAAAAGAAAGAGGGAAAGTCAAAGAAGAAGACGAAGAATCTGCTCGCAGGACTAGACAAGGGTAGATCCCGGCTATTTCGAATACGGCCAGAATCGCTGTTGGATGCAGCCGCAGAAACGTCACGAGACTACATTTCCCTGAGTGTGTCTAGGAATGGGAAGCACCTGGATCTGTTAGAAGTCGACTCGGATGATGACAAACACGCGTATCGGTCGATTCACGGCAAAGCTAAGCCAGAGGATGACTTGCCCAGTGATGTTGAAGCCGTGTCCGATACGGATTCGGATAAAGAGGGCGGCCGGAGTGACCCCGACCATGAGATCAAGCAGCGCAATGCGGAGTTACTGCAGATTGTCGAGAAACACCCTGATGATGTCTCCGCGTGGCTAACGCTTATCGACCATCAGGAGTCGCTCCTTCGAGGACCGGAGAGGGAATTTGGCTCTTTGACATACGCAGAAAAGATGGGCTTAGCCGACATCAAGCTATCACTGTACGAGAAAGCACTGAAAAAGGTCGGACCGAGCCCTGCAAAGGATCGCCTCCTGCTCGGCCTTCTCGAAGAAGGGGCAAAACTCTGGGACACTAAGAAGCTATCGGCTCAGTGGCAGACGATACTGAAATCAAATTCCGAGTACATCAACCTTTGGATCCGATATCTCGACTTTCGTCAAACTGAATTTCTGGACTTCACGTATGAGCGGTGCCTTGCAACCTTTCTGGAGTGTCTGAGACTCAATAAGTCTTCTTTCGACAAACCCGAGAAGACCCAGATCCACTTTTATCTGTTCCTTAGGTTGACATTGTTCATCCGGGAAGCTGGGTTTACAGAGCATGCCGCGGCTCTCTGGCAAGGTCTTTTGGAGCTGACTTTCTACCGACCCGGCTCGCTTGAAGGAAGCAAAGGCCCAGAAGAGGTAATACCAGCTTTTCTGGAGTACTGGGAGTCGGAGGTCTCCCGCATCGGAGAAGTGGGTGCCAAAGGGTGGAAGAACGAGGGAAATGTGCTGCGAAATGCGAATTCAAGCGAAAAGCTTCAATTTCAACTGAACCCAAAAGCCGTGTTTGCCTCCTGGGCACCGTCCGAACGGGAACGAATCGTCAATGCTCGGTTGCCAGCCCGGAGTATTGATGATTCGGAGGAAGATGACCCCTACAGAGTCATTATTGCACCTGATCTCGAAGAGATTCTGTCGCTGGCATGGCAGCCAACACCTGTAGGAGTGCTGATTGATAGCTTCTTCTATTTTTCCCATCTTCCACCCGTTTCGTCGGTTGACAATTGGGGTACGACAAGTCGCTGGAACGGGGATGGCTTCGTGCAGAACGAATTCGCAAGCAATTTTTATGCAACGCTTGCGGACTGGCTCCCTGGTGTGGCCGCTGACATAGAGCCCACGGTCGCATCTCCTATGCTTTTCCCTCATCAAAACTATATAATTACGCTGGATACTTTGTTTGCTGATCCTGCTAAATGGTTTTCTGCCCTTAAAACCTGGAGCGACGCCACTTCTAATTCACAATCCGATGTCGACCCTGTGTGGGTTCGCAGAGCCGTCCGCTCGTTGATAGAAGCGCAGCCTGAAGATGATGATCTAGCCGAATACGGTCTTGCTCTTGACCTTGCGTGTAAAAGCAAGGATGCGAGAAAATTCGCGAAATCGCTGCTCAAGAAGCGATCGTCTAGCCTGCGACTTTACAATGCTTATGCTCTGATAGAGCGGCGCTTCGGCAATCAAGCAGCTGCAGATCATGTATGGGCGACTTCCCTCTCTATGAGCAAGTCCTTCCCTGATCGCGACAGGGTGGATAGTATTATTGTGTGGCGCACCTGGATTTGGGAGCTTCTCGACGCTGGAAATGCGGCCCAAGCATCTCATCTCCTCCTTTCGATGCCCCAGAATAGTATTGATCTGAAGATCCTTTCCGATGCTTCCAGTAACCCGTCCTTCAGCCCGACAAGTTTGCTGAAGATACATAGTGTATGTTTACCAAATTTACCGGCCCTTCCACCATGCTGACATTCCATCCAGTACATCTCAGAAGCACAGGAAATTGGTCTTGCGAACGAGAAGCCTATCGTCTTCACGTCGTGCATAGACTGCCTAGCTATTCTATCGTACCTCTCCAATTCCCTCGATCTAAGCAGCTCCCTGGAATACTATCACAATGCATTCGCCAGGCTAGCTGCCCTACCCGACCAGTCCAAGTCATTCGCAAACTTCACGACCGAACTCCTCCATCAATCCCGGGCCCGACTCCTGTATTACCACATCCGCACAAGTGGCATCTACAAACCCTCACATATTCGTTCCCTCTTATCCGAAAGTATATCAGTATCTCGCCACAACACCATGTTCCTGTCCCTCTTTGCCTGGAACGAATCCCGGTTCCGCATTGAAGAGCGCGTTCGCGACACAATACGAGATATCACCAGCATCAATACCAACACAGACAATCTCACAGCCGCTCCAGTTCCCATAACGACACATCTCTTTTCAATATACACTGAAGTCAACCGTCCTACTTACGCCGGATCAACCATGCACTCTGTCCGTGCGGCATTCGAGAAAGCCATTGGTGACACCATCCACCAAGGCTCTAATACTTCCACCGGCCACTCCAGCATCACCATCTGGAAACTCTACATTCTCTTCGAACTGTCTCGTAACGACATTCAACGAGCAAAGACCGTCTTTTACCGCGGAATGCGCGCCTGCCCTTGGTCGAAGGAGCTTATCATGCTTGCGTTCACTCATCTCCGGGCAGATGTTATCCGGGAGCAGTATCCGCAGGAGAGTAGAAAGGGCGACGGTATGGGATTCGATGAACTCAGGCATGTTTATAACGTGCTTGTTGAGAAGGGACTGCGCATTCACCTGGATATTGAGAATGAGCTGGATGAGATTGCGGTGGAGATGGAGCGGAAGAGGATTTCTTCGGGTTCGGGGTTGCCGATTACTATGCCTGAGGACAAGGATAGTGAGGATGAGATGCAGAGTTAGTAGAGCTGTAGACACCGCTTGATGCGGGTTGTATTCCTTATTCACTAGTGGCGAAGTGCCAATAAAGGAACCATTCGTGAAAGTGCTCTTTTATTCCAATAGAATTTATTAGTAGCTTGGTGAGTTTTCTACTATGCGTGGTGCTAGCTGTACTTCGCAAGACACAACACCTTCGTACCTAATATTCGCTCAACATGTAGTCGAAATCCGACATAAATCACCGATAGTATGAGCATCTCGAAGTTTAAGTGCCTGCACGGTGTACTACCTATATATTGAGCCGAATATAGCGACCCCCGCCAAGAAATATATATCATGATTTACCACTCTTAGCCCCCATCACAGCATCATCACTACAAGCTTGGTGTTATATATATTATATCAGGAGACTCACCCACTATCCTACCCAGCCACCATCAACGACCCTCTTCCCCTAGTACTACTCCTATACCTCAAACGGCACAACCGCCCCGGCCCCCTCTCAAGGATCCCTATCATTCCCCACAACCTCCCCCACAAACCGGACAAAAAAAAACTACTGTATACGTCGTATCCACCTCCACAACCCTAACATCCACCCCCTACGCCTTCACCCTCCCCAACATAAAATCCCGATACCCCTTCAGGACCGAATAATCCTTCGTCATAGCCACATACGTAACCGACACCCTCCACGACGCATCCGCCGTCGCCAGCGTGTGAAACGCACTCAGCGGCCTCCCAATAGGATGCTTCAGTGTCTCAGACACCTGCGCCTTATCGCAATCGCCCAGGAACAGCTGGACAGGAACGACGGGGTATGTAGAGCCGTTATGCCTGCTTCCGTGACGACGTCTCAGATGGAGCGGCCGGGTTGTTGGAGGTAGGCGCACAGGTAGAGGGGGTGGATGATCCCGCCAGGGAAGTTTTTGCCTGCCCGGGTGAGTTGGTCCAGGTCTTGGATGGCGTCGGCGCCGATGGCGCCGCCGTAGGAGTGCATGGGCATGAGGATGTGCTCGCCCTGGTCTACCAGGGAGGTAATTAGGGTGTGGACGATGGAGACGTCGTCGGCGTAGTGATCTCCTGATCATTGAACATAGTAGAATAAGGTACAGCCACAGTAAATCGTAGTCCGGAACAACACTCCATTCCCGCTTGGTATGTGTAATGCTGTTCTCTAGAGCGACGGGCGATACAACACCTCCTATTGCCATAGCCTCGAAAGCCATCCCACATAGTATATACAGTTGTGAAGATGAGATGGTCTATCGTAAAGAAAATACCTGAGGTGGACGTTCTAAGAACCGAGCATGGTCAAACCTGCGGTCTGATGTAGCAAATTCGGACATCAAGGGAATGTAGGCTCTATCCACTAGGCGATAATAGAGCTCGTTGTTTTCCGGATAAGGACGAAGTATAAGCGGCACCAGCACTCCAGAAGCCATCACTGCCACGTCTCCTTCCTGCACATTAGGTCCGCTGATCCCGAACCCTTCAACTATCGGATCATCCACTCCGAAAACAATCTTCCCGGAATTCGACGGAAGAACATCACAGAGCTCCTTCCACCAAGGGTTGCTTGCGCGACGTATGTCAATCTCATGGAGAAGATGGAATGTCTCTGTTGTTTTGGCGCTTCGATCATGTGTAAACTTGGCGTAAAGATGAGTATAAGCCAGGCACGTATGCACGAGACTTAGACGCCTGGATTCTAAGCTCCCCCAGGTATCATAGCGTACATCTGTGATGCTAACAAATTGATCGATGATATCTGGCATTGTAGAGGCCAGTTGTATAACTGGGGAGCAAGAGCCGATGCGACGAGCACAAATTGTCATAGTGGACAGGTCGTCTGTGGTCACTGGTAATGGCTTCCAGGCCTCCGAGCACCAGCCGTAGTCACGAATGGGGTCACCCAGAGACTCCGTAGCACAACCAAAATCGAGAACCCAGGAAGGATAAGAAGATGAGCAACCAGATGAAACATTGTATTCCCGGGGTTTAAAGATGTTCAGAGCAACCGGCCCTTCCTGTGTCATGATAAATGCTGTTGTTTCGTGCATGATCTGCTCAAGTGGCTTATTGTAGTCCGGGGGGTGCTTGGCTTGTAGAGAAGGAAGCAAACTGTACAATGCGTACACCCTGTCTCGGGGATCTTTGCACTGTCGATGCAATGTCTTGCGAAGATGATGCAGGGCATTTTCATGGTTGTATCGTTCAAGTGGCTGACAGAAATTCGAGAGCTCGCTGAACAACTCCGTCTGACCGTACCTTCTTTTAAATAGTTGCTGAAATTCCTGATCACTCCAGCATGCCTGCATAAGACCGACACTGGCGAAAAAGGCAATTAATCTATGATTAAATGTGAGTGATCCACTCATGCAAACTGGATCGTTTTTGGCCAGCTGGTATTCCTGGTATGTCCACATGCGTGCCCAGTAAGGGTCATCCCTGACGAGCCGGAACTGATCGTACACATTGACCAGTCGCTTCGCCCTTTGAACTCGAGCTTTCTGGCAGTATTGGCTCAGTGTGTCCAGGACACGCCATGCAAGTGTTTCCCGAGTGACCCGGCCCGGCTTGCATGCCTTTATCCAGGAAATCGCAGCACGTAGATCCATGTTACTATTCACCATCATAGCAATAACCGCAGACGCGCTCTTATAGACACGACCAAGTAATGGGACTTGTGTGTTCTTTTCAGGGACATCATGCTGGTTGATGCAGACATAGTCGATCCATACTACTCGTCGCCGGTCCTTACGGCGAAGGAGACGCAGCGTTTTATCCACACTCCGTGTCACGTAAAAGAGGGTATCATTGATGATAATATCTGTCTTCTTTGAGGCATCTCCCCAGACATACGAAATAGCCTTAAACTCAGGGCTATTATCCAATGATACAGACTCAAGAGAGCACCTGATTATGGATTCAGCCTTTGTGCTGGGTAAGATGGTGAGGAGACGGATTTCGTTTCGTTCTGGATGTAAAGGAAAGTTCTCTAGATGTTTGGGCATCTTGGTAATAACATGAAAAAGAATCGAAGGGTTCCACCTTCTGCTGAGCTGAAAGTGCCCAGTTTATTTTCGCGAGGCTGGGTTCGCAATGATGCTGTTGTCCTTAGGCATCAATGCATAGCCACAGAAGGCGAAGACTGGCCATTGTTATTGGCACTAGACAATACGCTAAAGAGACTGCAATCTTACCTCATTTAGGATTAGCTCTATTATGCGCCAACAGCTGATCTTGAAGACGAAGATTATGATTATTCGAACCTCATGTACGCATCAATTAAAATGCTATATGCGGATGCGATACATGGTTATCAGGGCCTATGATGTTGGCCATTGGGGGAGTATTGGGAGCTTTGGGATGAAGTCTTAGGAGGACACTTCGGGCATTCTCGGTGAAGAGAAAACTGATAGGTGAAGATTGGCTTGCATCACAGATCCTGAACTCACTAAAGAGGTGGAAATAAATTCTAACTATTGGATTATTTCTAACAAACAACTAATCACCACCATTAAGAAACGAGGTCCGGTTCATGTACCAGGCCATTGCATCCGGATTTCCTCTCTCCGAAGAATTCTCCACCTCAGCCCAACCATTTCCGAACCACCCAAACTCATTACCGTCATATGCTGTAGTCTCAAAATCTTCCCACCTCACATGCTCAAGTGCTTTAATAGCATGGAGGCTACTACCGGGCCAGAGTGCAGTAACACGACCCCTCTTACCCTGTTGCAGAGTCGTTGCACCGGCTGGAGGTGACTTGTACCAACTGTTGCATTCGGAGCTGTAGACCGTTCGTTCGAAATACCTCTCCGCGTAGTTGGTGAAATTTAGGACCTGTTTCCGCTTTGGTTCTACAATCCCGACATTACCATAGGCCATTCGCGATAATATCTGCGCGACGTATGCGTGTGTCTGCTCTATCATGATGAGGAGGTTTCCTGCCCCTTGAAAAGAATTGGGTCCCAGGGACTGGAATAAGTTGGGGAATCCGTCGGTGCAAAGACCTAAGTATGTCTCTGGCCGATCGGCATACTTGTCGCAAAGGATGCTTCCATCACGGCCTATAATTGGGAAGCTGGCCCCTAGGTTTTTATCGAAGCCGGTTGCGCAGATGATCGCCTCCACGGGGCGATGTTTACCATCTGTGGTGATAATACCAGATTCATCGACACGAGCAATTGCTGTGCCGATTACATTGACTTTCGGCGACACTAAAGCTTCCAGATATCCAGGAGCAGGTGTCAACCGGTTACAGAGCGGAGGAAAATCAGGCAGCAGGAGATCCAGTAGCTCGGGGTTTGCTTTTAGTCTCTCCCGCATGCCCGCTCGGAGTTGAGCTGTCGCAGTCTTCTGGATATCGCTATCCCGTTGGGAAATGGCGAATTGGCTCTGGATCTCTAGCTCCAGTTCCTTGCGATACTTGAGATACGATGATGGTTCATCCCGCCATTTTCGCTTCTCTTTCTCCGTGTAGCGGAAATTCATAGCTTGAGTATTCGTTCGTGCCGCAAGGTGAGGGCTACCGTGTTGATTGGATATCCATGTCCCTCCACGAATGTAGTGGTCCATAGACTTGACTTTGTCGATGATTGCGGGGACGATCTGGACCGCGGTGCTCCCGGAACCGATTACGGCTACAGCTTTCCCCTGGAGGACCAATCAGAAACAGCGCATTTGGTGTATTAGTGAAGCGTAACTCACCTCAGGAGTGAAGGCTTCATCCCAGCTAGCGCTGTGAAGCAGCTGTCCTTTATAGCATTGTAGACCAGGAATGGAAGGCCACTTCCACTCGTTAAGCAAGCCCGTTCCAGTCATCAACACGTCGGCTGAGTCTTCGAAGGTATTTCCAGTTAGTAGGTCTTGGATCTGAACAGTCCATAAGTTGGTGGTATTGTTCCATCGTGCTTCGTTGCATCGCCGATTGAAATGTATATGTTTCCGAACATCGTATTTCTGGGCCACACGTTTCCAGTATTCGAGGATCTCGTCTGAACAAGAGAAGAAGTGGCTCCATTCAGTCCAAGATTCAAAACTAAGTTGATAAGTGTGAGATGGCACATCTATTTGCACAATCAGTCAGTGATGGTTGGTACTTCATAAGATTGGATCCAGCGAGGCTCACCACACGCGCAGCCTGGATATCTGTTTTCGAACCATGTCCCTCCTAGTTCGGGATTCTTCTCATAAATAGTCAATTCCAAGTGAGGCACAGCCTTCAGAAACTGAATGGCAGCGACAATTCCTGAAATGCCTGCACCGATGTAGATGAGTTTCAGTGGCCGGGGCTGGTCGATAGGACGTTCTGAGATCAACGGAGGGCTGGAACTGGAATGTTGGCGGTCATTGAAAAGATGAAAGTCCTTTGAACCATGCTGCTCGGTGGCCAAAGGTTTTTCATCGTCATTGAGACCGATGTCGTATTTGCCTGTGGTGGTTCGGTCGTTGAGAGGACAAAGAGGAAGTATCAATGGATTGCTTTTAGCTGTTTTGACTGAAGACATGATACGAAGATTCCATGTAGATCCTCTTTAACCATTCAATACTAGTGGAATTGAGAAGAATTGATTCTCCGTGGATTTGCAGCTGTTGTGTGATCCCGGAAACTATGAGTGAGTACCTTTTCCGTGCATCGCTTGAATTTTTCTCTCATCCTGATGCTTTCTATAGCTATAATGAAACCCTGCGTGAGACGAAAGTAACCCGATGTCTGAGATGGACATGTAACATGTTGTATGTGGATTGGCATCGCCTCTCTTATGTCAATGTTCAGCTCTTTTCTATGGATGTTACAGTAGCATACCGGGATGTGCGCCTCATCACTGTGCTTGTCACGGCCATGGCTGCCCATAGAAATTACAGAACCGTATTTTAGTCTGGTACAGTGACATTCTGCTTCGGCATACTATTCCAGATTCCCCCTTTAGTATGATTTAGCCACTGACATGAACAGACTAGCTATGGGGAGCAAGGAGAAATGTCTGAGATTCCAATGACACTGCCGGAAGGATTCATGGTTCGCATTCTGGAAATTCTCCGCGGACATTTATCATTCGCCAGTGCGATATGCATGATACCCGCACCCGGTTAGTTCCCGTTTTCAACCACGGAATTTGTGTATACGGGGTATGACATGTTGAGATAGATCAAACAAATCCTCCAAGTCGAGCAACAAGCACTTGCCTCAGGACACACTGCAGGCTGCACGGATGGTATGAGGCATGATTGTCCAGGGTAAGGTCAACCTGCATCAGAAAATCAATCTCTTCAAATGCAGTTCGGGTGCAATTCCAGCATCACCCACCATGTGTCTGGTTTCGGACTACAGTGTGCCGCCCGCGCATGAGTCTTAAAGAGGGAGATGCTACGGCGGCTTCACTCATGCCGATCCTATACTCCACTTACATGGCAAAATCAATCGCTGAAAAGTCATCGCTCTAGGGTTCTTGATGGAAGGGCAATAACTGATGGATCTGGCTGAAAACTACTCACACTATCACTTCTATCATTAATCTCAGATGCTAACTGAACGTGGCCAATGTGGCTACAGCGTCATTGGAGATGTTGCATCGCTAGCTCTCTTTAGCACCATTGAACGCAAAAGGAGACCAAGAGCCACATACAGTCATTTTGTGCACGTGTTCCACTGTGACATGTACGAGTAATGTTGCATAGCGAGGCGTTATCTATCCATCTCTTACGAGGAATTCACAGTTACATGACCTCAAGCTTCGATGTGCGAGTAATGTAGCACACATAAATGCTCTAGACGCTTTTAAGATGGGACTTGAACGGAAGATAAAAGGGCCCAAACGTCTTCCTAACCGTGCCGCTACTTCTTCAGCTCAACAGATATTTGAACCAAATTCATCGGGGTTCCTTCAGATATATCTTTCTCAAATACATACTATTTATATCGTTATGAAGACTGCCGAGTTTGAATTCGACCTTGACTACAAGGTCATGCCCCATGACCCCGTCGAGCTGAGAGGTAAAACCCGCGATAGCGGAAAGATGATTGTCTTGGATCGTGAAAGCTCCAAGATCGATCATGCCATATTCTCCAGCATTGGAGACTACTTTCGCCCCGGAGATCTCCTCGTGCTGAACGACAGCTACATGCTGTCAAACACCCTGTGGTTCGAGTACGGCAACAACGAAACCCTCCAACTAACCGTCTACGGTCACGAGCCAGACGGTACCACCATCGTCGAGCTTAAGAAGCCCGAAATCACCTTCAAACGAGGGCAAACCCTCACTTCCCTGGACGAAGAGAAGCTCAAATGCACTCTCCTTGACCAGCAGCCCGATAAGCTGTGGAAGGTCCAGTTCAGTCCCGGTGACCTCCTCCTCCCAACTCTCGACCAATACGGAGCCCGGCTCGACGAGAATATCCATTTGAACCCCACATACTGGAAGGAAAAGCCCGATGCTTACCGCTCTGTGTACGCTAAGAAGCCTGGCTCTTTGGAGATCCCTTCCGCCGGACTGCACTTCTCCCATGAGCTCCTCGCCGAGATCTCCGCCAAGGGTGTGGAAATCGCCTATATTACTCTGCATGTGGGGGCGACTGAGATTCTCTCTGTTCGCCATATCAGTGTTGAGGAGATCGAAAAGCACAAGGTACGATCGGAGTACTACGAGGTCAGTGAAAGGACCTCAGCACAGCTGAATCGAGCACGGGGCGAAGGCCGTCGCGTTATTGCTGTCGGCACGACTGTTATGCGGACGCTGGAGACCATTACCCGTGAGACGGGCCGCAAGGGCACCATCAAGCCCCAGCATGGATGGACCGATCTCTATATCTATCCGGGATTCGAGTTCAATGCTGTTGATGTGCTGCTTACCAATTTGCATCGCCCGCGGTCTAGTCATATTGTACTAACGGCTGCGTTCGCGGGAACGGAGTTTGTTATGAGGAGCTATAAGGAAATTCAGGAGAAGGGCGATTATGAGTTTGATATGTTTGGGGATTGTATGCTGATTACCTAAGTGATACATTCCC